TAATCCCTAATCCATCTGAAGTTGGAAGAAACYTTTAAGATTTATTTGTCTTTTGTGTTAACTTTAAGCTTCATTCTGTAGTTRAGGAACCAACACAGAACCCCTTCCAGAACTACCATACAGCCAARAAAAAGTCCCTTAAACATTTACTTAATACATAATTTTGCATCGTACGATTTTCCCAGCAGAACTGTTCAGCTTTTAGTAAATAGAGCCGAATCTGCTTTAAGTAGTTAAAACTGTTCCTGAGCRATTTTCTGGGATTAAAAAGAAATAACTACAGTAAAGAGTTATTTACTGTTGTTCAGACATTATTCATGCCTGAACTACTGGATGAAATGGATATAATGTTCAACTAGATCTTCTAACAAAGGACTTTGTGTAAACAGATAAAAAAACTAATTTTCACTTATGTAAGAAGCAGAAGTATCCAGTTTCACTTTAATTCATGGCATGAAAACATGCTTTCCCTTGTGGCCTTTTGTTTAAATTCAGTCACAGCTTCCAAACCAGGTGCACACATTATAAATTCTGACCAGTTCTTTCTGGTGTGAATTCAGCAAAACGTAAAGCAACCTCCTCAACCATAGAGTGACACGTGAGAGATTTCCCTCAGAATAACACGCCGCCATAAACACACAATCACGATGCTGACATTTAAACTCCTCTGGAATAAAATCCTCCAACTCTGTCATAAATAACATCACAAATGTCAAGCATCTCCGCACTCTCGTAACACCGACCAGAGAGCGATACATTTCTATTTGTCAGACGTTCGCGACTCGTCTGTTATTAACGCGTCAGGTTATTTGTCTGCTCTGTCGTCTCTCCGCCTCCCCTCTGCCAGAAACAGCTCCTGGTCCCCTCCTAATTATTTTAGAGGAATGTTCATGTTAATTGTCTGGCTGTCATCCTATATCACCTGAACAGCACAGTAATGTCTGGCTTTAAGCATTGTCCTAACTTGCTTGAAAGGGCAAAGAAAAAAGAAAAAAAAAACCTGTCGGTATGCAGGCTCCAGAACCTCCACACCCTTTTCCATTCTGATGAACACCACAGCTGGGATTTATGGTATCTGAGTGTGAGAAAAAAACAAGTGTTGATTATTTTTGTGGCMTTTTAACAATTTAATTTTATTGAGGATCCTTGAAAAGTGAGTCTTAAAGGAACGAACAGCTGCTTCAAACCTCGGTCGTGTCAAATGCACTTTATTGCCCTCGTCTGTGTTTTTCTTGGAATCTGGGCGACACCACTGATTATCTGAACACAATGTTGGTTCTCTGTCTCACAGGGGGAGAGGGGACTTCCTGGGCCACCTGGAATCCAAGGGGAAACTGGAATCGGCCTTCCTGGACCCAAGGTAAAGTTTGCCTCCCTGCTGTTTTGGAAAATTGTGCCATGAGAGCAATAATAACCTGKCTTTGTGCCTCTCACCCTGTCTGAGCGCTCCTCTCTGCTTTCTCACGCACCACAGGGGGATGTCGGTTTCCAAGGACAACCAGGGCCTCCCGGWCCTCACGGAACCGGTGAGCCTGGACCACCGGTGAGTTAGGAGCCAGGAAAAAAAAAACTTGCATCTGATCATCGTGCATCGACCTGTTTTATCAGTCGGTTTTGTCACTTTAGCATGTGACGAAACAAGATTTATGTCTTGTGATTTATCACAGCGAAGATGAGTGAAATGGGATGAAATGAAGGCCTGACTCACTTTAAAATGGGCCGAAGAGTTAAAGCTATGAAACTGGGGCAGGTCTTCTGCTGAAACT